TTGCCTGATATTAATTTTAGATAAATCCACTAAATAGTTTTGCTCCACATAGCGCGTAAAAAACAAACCATTTTCAGCGATGTCCCCATTTTTGTAACACGAAGCACTAGCTTGCATTAGGCCTACCGCTAAAAATCTCAACGATTGTGCCATATTGCAAACTACAGTAGTCTAACAGGCCAACAGAAGTTTGCAGACAGTTTTTTTTTCAAGTTTCCTTTGCCTGCTGAGATCATGGTTAAGATAAGTAAAGAGAAGAGAGCTTTTTGTATTGAACATTTCCTCACCACCAACTCGTTTCTTAAGTTTTGCACAAGGTGCGGAAATAAAGTTAAAGTGCCCTGAAGGCCTTCTTTGATGTCGAGGGTGGAAATGGTCCATGAGTCAGGACCTGTAGAGAAACAGAATTATACATTCCCAGACAAAACGACCACTTCAGGCCAAACACACACCGCTTGCACCCCTTTAAACGTCACCAGGATGCAGAATTCAGTAGATGAGCCCATGAGACGTACGAGTATGTCCGTAGACGATGTCTGCAGCAATGACTTTCTCCATGGTCCGCATTCTCAAAGCAGATCTTCATCTATGACTGTATCATTTTCCCCCATAAACCACGAGGAGATTGGTCTTTTAGATTTAACTCAATAGAATGACCAAACACAAAATGAGAGTAGACATCTGCTTTCCTCTTGAAAAAAAGGATGGTGATCTGAAGATATAACCTCATATTGTATGGATTGAATTATCTAATTTAACGTATTCATACAAGGTATCTGATCCCATATAATCGGCGGATTCCAAGTAGTGTCCTTTTAGAAATTTTGATTTATAATAATATTACTGCATTTTTTATTTTAATATTATTTCATTATTTTACTCAAATCAATTCTATTGTTAGTATGATTGTTTTTGATATTGATGTTATGACCGTGTTTCTTCTTCTTCTTCTTCTTCTTCTTCTTCTTCTTCTTCTTCTTCCTCTTCCTCTTCCTCTTCCTCTTCCTCTTCCTCTTCCTTCTTCTTCTTTTTCTTCTTCTTCTTCTTCTTCTTCTTCTTCTTCTTCTTCTTCTTCTTCTTCTTCTCTTGACGAATCTCCAACCCCACTAGACCCGTGTCAAGTCCACCCTCTTCAGACTAATCACCCCCTCAAATTCAAGAGAACCTAGAAAAGCTTGGCACCAAATCTGAAGTCCCTCCTCCAATACTCAAGTCACTGACACTCGACTACCTGGACAGAAACTTCCCAAGCAACCTGTGGAATCGAGTTTACACAGATGGATCAGCAACTGATGCAGTCAGAAACGCGGTGAAGGTATCTACATAGAGTGGATAGATGGGTCAGCAGAAAGCCAATCCATCCCCACAGGATCTCTATCTTCAAATTACAAAGCAGAAACATCAGCACTCGAAATAACAGCCACCATTCTCTTGAATCACCAAAAATCTAAAGCCAACACCGTCATCCTCACAGATGCCCAATCTGTCCTACAAGCTCTCCAAAAGCCAAAATCAGCTTAAATACGACAACTTCTTTCACTCCTATGTGATCTCAACTCCCAAGCCAACACAACTCTGCAGTGGATACCAGGTCACTGTGGCATTCGTGGAATGAAAAAGCAGACGACTTAGCCAAAGAAAGAGCCAAAATAACCCAGATTGAAGATGGCATGGGTCTCTCAGAGTCAAAAACACTAATAAAATCTGCCTTAAGAAATAGATGGAAAAGGTCCCACCCTAAACAAAACAGACATGACCCCTACTACATACTAAATAGAGCAGACCAGGTCACAATCTTTAGACTCCGTTGTGGCCACAACAGACTCAAACACCATATGCACACCAAATTAAAAGTGGGAGAATCGGCGATCTGTGAATGTGGACACGACCAAGAGGATGCCAACCATGTCCTTCAGCATAGCCCGCGCTACGCCACCCTTCGCGCACAGACGTGGCAGAATGTGGTTCCCCTTGAGCTAAAGCTCTGTGGCAGTCTCTCAGCGTTGAAGCGAACCGCACAGTGCGCGACATCGGACTGACTGTCTAGCTACTGTCATCGAGAACGAGGAAGAAAAAAAAAGATTGAACTGACGTCTTGGTTTTCTAGTCTCTTTGTGATCCCGTCCTCAACTTTCTGCACATTGCCCTCTTCATTGAGTTTTCGTAAATTAATTGTCTCTGAATGTTTCTTCTTCTGTTTTCGCGTGGGTTTTTGCTCTTCTTTACTCGTCATCATCACTGGTCGGTAATCTGTATCAAAGGTGATGTTTGGGATTGATCTTGCATTAGCTGTTTTTGTTCTCTGGGCGATTTGTCTCATTATGAAGTCAATCTGTGAGGAACTTTCTAGGTTGTTTCAATTGTAATACGACTGGGTTTGAAAGTATTTGTGATATATAGTCCATACTCTGCACAGAGAGCTAATAGTTGTTCCCCATTATAATTAATTTGAACAGGTGTCACCCTGTGGTCAAAGGTAGTTTTCCCCATGGTGTCCTTGGGCCTACGTGTCCAATGAAGTCTCCCAATATGATCAGTTCCTCCTCACCAGGTACGCTGTCTATGGTGTCCGCCAACTTATGAAAAAAATTCTTCTTTATCTTCCCTTGAGTATGTGTCGTTACAAGGGGCGTAGACCTGGATGATAGTTTTACTTTTTTGCGCTTTCTGTATTCTGATTGTCAAGATCCATTCTGATATTAATTATTTCTGTATAACTTTTTTTGCCTTGTCAGGATGTATTAAGAATCCCACACCATGAATAGCTCTCTCTCTCTCTCTCTCTCTCTCTTTCTCTCTCTCTCTCTCTCTCTCTCTCTCTCTCTCTTTCTCTCTCTCTCTCTCTCTCTCTCTCTCTCTCTCTCTCTCTCTCTCTCTCTCCCTCTCTTTCTCATATCTGCTCCACTCCATATTAGAACGTAATTTTCATTATTTTCTTGGTCCCGCTTCCTTTTAAACGGCAATCAGACAGTCCAAGTATTGATATTCTCCACCTTTTCATGAAAGTAATAAGTTCTGGTTCTTTGTCTTTCAGGCCAAAGATGTTAAGTGTGCAAATCCTTTCTCGTAATCCTTTCACGATCGGGTCGTTTTCCGTCTATGTCAGTCCGTTTCTTTCTTCTATTTGTTTTTTAGCAATAAATAATCCGCTGCCGACTTGCTAGGCCTGTCACGGTTTCATCAGAGCCCCGTTAGTCTGCAACTTGACTCGGGTTCTCCTTCACGGATAGCGTCTCAGAGGCATAAAGCCACACCGTACTTCGTATATCCTGAGCTAGTTTGCATATGTGTGTATAAAATCTTTGTAGCCAACCTATTTGCGTCCTTAGTTCGCACGTCGTAAATGGATTTAACCACCACGCTGTGATAGACGACTTCAGCATAGATATAAGGCATTGATCACGGAGACTATGGTAGTCAGCTCTCTCGACAGGGTCCTGGAACTGAGCTTTTAATATTTTTGAGATTGTTGGTAATATCTGTAGTAGAAAAATTAGGAGGTAAGTAAGAGCAATATAATGTGTCTCCACCGGCCGTTTGCCTGTTTGTTTGTTTGTTTGTGTGTTTGTTTTGTTTGTTGTTTTTTTCTTTCGTGTTATCTTTTTTTCCACGTTTTTCCTTTTTGAAACTTCTTTCTTTCTGTCTCTCTTTCTATTTTTATTCATTTCTTTTTTCTCTTTCTATCTTTCTATCTCTTTGCATTTTTCTTTTTTCTGCACTTTTCCTTTTCCAAATTTCCTATTGTTCTGTCTTTCATTCTGCTGGTCTTCAGTTTCCCCCTTTTTTTGTTTTTACTTTTGTAAGTTTTGATTCATTCTGTATTTTTCTGTGTCTTTTATTCTTCTGCTGCTGTTGAACATACTGTTTGATATCGGTTCCGCAAATGAGACAGAATATTACGCCGGTCTTATTAATGAGTAGTTACGCCTTGTTAGCTGCTTTATATACTCTCATCTCAACAGCATCGTCAGTGGTTCTTTTCCGTTCAACCAGCCTTGAAGGTATGCTAGAGTTGCAGGTGAAGCTTCTAGCAGCTTCTTAGTCACATTACTGATTCCTTAGGGACGATACGTGCCCTCGTTGTGGTGAGCATTGCTAAATCTAGACATACTGTTTGAGCAACGCATAGCAAAAGATTTCAAAAAAATTATGGGCGGTTGGGGGGGGGGTATTTTAGCAAATGATCATCAAGTCCATCTCATTCATTTTTTAAAATTTTACTAACTCTTAAGATGACATTGTGTAAAAGGCCCTATTTGCATTATGTGGAGGTTATCTGGTTCATTTAAAGGTAAACAATCACAAAAGTCCTCATGAGTACATTTTATCGAAAGGCAAATCACATGAAAAAGAAATCAGCTTTAAAAGACTTTGCAGAATATAATAAATCTGTGATTGAAAAATGTTGCTGTGCACCTACTGGCCTTTTATTCCTCTCCGGAAAGGAAGCGACCCCTCACGTTTGACTCTCGTGACGTCACAGTTAAGACCTCTAGTTCTATTTATAATCTCTTTGGTCCGAACCTCTTTGGTAGAACAGCAACAATGTTTCTCGCTACCTGATAGATCGCTACCCTAAAATCACAAAGTTCTATCAGCTCAGTGCCTAGTTTTGAAAGATTTGACGTTTTAAAAAGTTTCACAACTTGCCAATCTTTCTCAAATGCAATTTTTGGAATATTTTGATAACAACTTCAAATAATCTTATGATTTTGATAGAGCAGATAGGTCATTTGGTTTCTGACCTCATGGTCTTAGTAACTCAAAATGGCAAAAACTGTCAGATGAAACTTTGTAAGTTTAAGGTAGCGAGATGTCAACATCCTCGATGGCTTTCCCTACGCCCTGTATGACTTGCTGCTGTCATGACGAGATCAGTTAACTACGGTTGATGTATACTCGGGTTGGTTTACTCTGCATAAATTTTACATCTTTGATTTATTGTTTTTATTATTGCAGGTCTTTGAGTTTACTGAAAAAGCAACGTAGAATCCCCTGCCATGGGTCCCAGTGGCGTGGACAACTTTGCCTACTCCGTGGACGGTTCAGAAACCCAGAACAAACTCAGACATTTTGCAGTGTCCGAGGATGGCGTCACGTGAGTTGTAAACGTTTTTATATTGTAAGCTTATTGGTCAAACATTCGTGGCGCAGCTACTATCAACTGTCGAACATAGACTCTCCAACTTTTGCACATTGATTTGTGCATCAATTTGTCTCAACAGATGAATGTTTTTGTCAAAACCTGCTGGCTGTATTCTATAAAATTCTTAAATAAAAATACTAATAAATCCTAGTGAGGAGTTTCTACAGATTTTCAAAGGTTTACACTTTTAGTTTAGTTTAGTATAGGCTTTTACGGCGCTCGCAACTGCATAAGGTCATATGAGCGCTCGAAACACAAGTTAGTTTTGTTCACAACAGTTTACTGTACGGCTGGCTCGGGTCAGTAGTTGAATCTTAAAATGTTCAT